AACATCGATGAGAGAGAAACATCGATCAGCTGCCTCCTGCACACTCCCCACTGGGGATGTGCCCACAACCCATGTACATGCCCTTGACCGGAATCGAACCTGGGACCTTTCAGTCCGCAAGCCGACGCTCTATCCACTGAGCCAAACCAGTTTCGGCTATGCTTTTATTTTTTAATTGAAAACCAAAATGCATTCTACTGGGAAATATTCACAGGGAAATATTCTAAGAAACGGGTCTACAATTCCCTCAGTTACCCATTTTCCACTCCTGTTTTCTTTCCAGCTCTTTTTAAAAAATATTTTCTTCTTTATTGATTAAGCTATTACATATGTGTCTTATTCCCCCATGGCCCTCCCCGACAGCCCCGCTCATGCCCTCACCCGCCTGGTGTCTGTGTCCATTGGTTAGGCTTATATGCATGCATACATGTCCTTTGGTTGATATCTCCCCCTTACCCCCAACCTCCCCTACCTTCCAACATTCTATTTAGAAGCCTTTCACTAATTCATACTACTGACAAAAATAAATTACTGAAGGTTTATATTATATCTATTCTATCAGCAAGCATTTATGGTCTCATGATTTTAGAAGTTTTATCCACCTAAAACTAAGAGTGAGCAAATAAAATTACTATCAGAATAGCCAATTAAAATATATTCATACACACACACACACCTGGTATCTGGGTTGTTCCTGAGACTTCGAGGGATTCCAGGGAAGGCAGGTTGAGAAGCAATTCCTGTTCTACTGCATTCAGCTCAGATTCATTTATGGAGCACTTGGTGAAAGAAGCCTTATACTGCTCAATAGCTGGGCGAAGGCTTTCAATAAAGCCCCTGCTTCCCCTTAAGTGAAGTTCAATGTGCTGTGAAGCTGAAAAAACTGCCATTAGAACCCTGAGCATCTCTTGGTCCACACCATCCATATTAGTCACGTGGACTTCCAGAAGGGGAATCTTGTGCTGCTTTGGAGAAAGTTTCCAATAGCCAGTGCTGATGTCTGGTGGTGCTTTGACAATCATACTCATAAATCTCAATATGTCTTTCTGTTTTTCAACTACATTCCGCTCCCATTCCATCATATCTTCAAAGGCAGCAGCACAGTCCTGTTGTATAGTTGGTGCCTGTGATTTGTCCCAACATCTCTCCAGACATGAACTATCTGGTACAGGTGACATGATTTTCATGTTTCCAGTTACGGAGACTCGGATGCTCCTCAACAATAGCAGGCTTTCTGGATGGTCAAAAAAATACGGTAAATTAAGCATATCCAAAGTCAGAGTTCTCCCTTGAAGGAATTGCAAAATAAATGGAGAACATGCTTCAACAGTGTTGCTTTGATAAGCAATTTTTATAGCAAAAGTCAGTAAATGTTTTGAAATGAGTGAAAAGCAATCTTCTGGAGCTAATTGCCACAATGACCTACATAGGTGCACTCTCTCTGAAACTTCCAGATGGTGCTTCAGATCGTCTTTTTCAGATAGATTCTCCAATGACTTTTTGTTGTCCAACAAATGAAGCAAATGAGATACAATTTTTGGCCCTGCCTTTGTTGAAGGGTAGCAGGAGACATATGTCAAAAAATTGTTACAGGAACTTAAAGTCATCATGGAAGAGTGGATTTGTTTCAAATAATAAAGTCCCAAGTCTTGATCTTCTTGCCTATCGGAATCCAGAAGTACTATCAGCCCCATCCCAGCAAGAAAGTCTTGGAATGCAGGATCTAAAAACTGATAGACTGGTCTCAGTCTCTGGGCTGTGAATTTACTCATCAGGCACATGGTTAGATCTTCATCTTCGTCAACTCCTGCTTCTACAAGGTCATCATCACTAAACTCAAAGCAAGAAGAGAAAAACCCTTTCAAGGCCAGCTTACCACAGGAGGACACGTTTGCTTTGAAACGTTCAGCTGAAAGTTTGTGCTTTAAGGAAAGGCATTCTATATAGGATTTGAAAACAGTCACATGATCATAGGACCGGTCAAAAGGGTTTCGAAACCAATTAGCACAAACTGCTGCTACAAAAAGAGGAGTTTTCTGAATTCCCTGCAAATTTTCATTCATTTTAAAGTGAATCATAAACTTTTGCAGACGGGTCAAATCATGAGAAAAAAACTTCCGTAATATGTAGACAGTATTATAGAAGGGAAACGGTTTGATCTCTAGAATCGTATGTAGGTGTTGTCGGATGTCCCTGGTCCTGTTTGTGCGGACGGCAATCAATAAACAGGTCCTTGATGAGTGGTTCTTATGAATCAGTTTTTGTATGACTTGAGGGACTGAGCACATTTCTTTGTAGTCATCCAAAAGGAATAACACCTGATTCTTTAACTGCTGCATGATGATCCTTAGGGACATTTCAGTAACAGATCCTTCTGTCTCTAGGAGTTGGTCACAAATGATGTTGGCCAGCCCTTGGTCCAGTCTGGTAGAGCTAAGGGAGAGATAGAAGACCAGCTGGAACCTGTTTAACAAGGGACAGCATCCTGATGCCCATAGAAGAGCTATTTTCTTCAGGAGGACTGTCTTTCCACTACCAGCTTCACCCTCCACACACATGACAGAGTTCAAGTTGGCAAAGACATCAGACAACACTACAGGCTTTTGCACAGGAGTGCTGATGTGTTTTGAAGCAAGGGACAGATCACAACTCAGCAAGTGGTCTGTGGCCAGACTGGAAGAGACCTCAAGCATATACATGCGGCGGAAACTGGCATCGGTGTAGGCTTCTTTCAGTCGCTGGTTCAGGCTTTTTGCCTCCCCAAACCACTGGGCTTCACTCTGGGCGGTCTCTGTGGAAAGAAGAAAGGAGGCACAAATGCAAATCCTCTCTCTTTTAATATCCCCTACATATAAATTATGTAGGCATATACAGGGTGTCCCAAAAAATGTATACACACACGTAATCAGCTGATTTCTATTACATTTTGAAAATCAAATGTATTTTAATAAACACTACCCTAACTATTTTGCGGGGGCACCCTGTATATAATCCCATGAGCTATTTCAAAATCCTTACCTTGCACTAGAGAACTAACTGCTGCTGAATCTTCAAGACTGGTTTCACTTATGGTTTCCTTTGAAAATAAAATCCTCTATTAAATAAAAATTTATATAAGGGTGAGGTATCATGTTACAATTGGGGACCAAACATTACTGAAATACAACCCACCCTCAAATATTTATGCCTATTGAAAAGAGGAATGCTACAAATATGGAGCAATACATGATCTCCAAACTCCTCAAGTGTATGCTCCTAAGTGGTACACACAGGTGAGTCAATCAGAGATTACTGTCCAGGTAATCAGAATCATAGCATCTAGAGCAAGACAGCCCTCCAAAAATCATTAGATACAGCTACTGACCTAAGTTATTAACATGTTTAATATTACATACCTGCAGTGTAGGAAGGTTATGTTTCTTCCTTAAAAAGTAAGCCATTTAAATATCCCCAAGCTTTTTTCTTCAATTTCCTTTTTCAGCTAACAAATATAAACTTAAATCAAATGAATAGCCAGTTACTTTTTATTTCTGTGGGATGACAAACCTAATATACCTACATACAGCCTCAAATAAGGTGTGTAGGCGTGTATGTGTAGGTGTGTGTGTGCGCATGTGAAATTGATAATGGCTTATATCCCAGAGAACTATGACCCATTTAAAGGGGTCAACCTATTCTCTAGGTTTATGATTTCGTTGGTCATTTGTTTTTGTAAAAGAAATACCTTTCCAGCCCTGAGAATGGCCAAGTAGCAAGTCAGACCTTATTGTCCTCCAAGTGAGGATTGCGTGGATCTGAGCACCTCTGAGTCTAAAAGAGTCTGGGCCCCAAAGTAGAAGGGATTGACTCTTCATTTTATGAAGCGAGGTATTATATCTTGTTTACTGTAGTATTCCCATCTGCACCTAACACATCATAGATGCTTAATAGGCACTTGTTAAATTTATTTATTTACTTATTTAGGATAAGCAATTCCTGTTCAAAAACAGTTTTCAACCATGTACTGTTAAAATAAACAAGATGGTGTTCATTACCGCCAATTCAGAAAGCTCATCGTGGCTCTGCAGGTCTGGAATCACTTCTGCAGAGGCCTTCAGATTTTGGAGAAACAGACAACTAAGCACAAAAGTTAAAAGTTATAAAATTAGTTGTAGGCAAGTAAGTCTTGGCATTAGGTTTTTAAAAATACTGTCAGAGTTTTAATAGGAAAATTTTAATATAAAATTGACATTTCTAGTGATTTGTTCTGTCAGTGTCATTATCAAGCAGGACATTCAGACTGTAGCTGTCAGCAATAGAATGTAAGTGCTTTGTAAAGTAATGAGGGGGATAACACTCAAACGTGAAACCAACTAAAATGAACCTAAAGAATCAAAAATAGAGAAGAAAGCACTGGCTGGTGTAACTCAGTTGATTGGAGTATCATCCTGTACACCAAAAGATTGTGGGTTCTAATCCCAGTTAGGGCAAATATGAGGCTATGGGTTTGATTCCTGGTCAGTGCACATGCCAGACACAGCTGATTGATGTTTCTGTGTGTGTGTGTGTGTGTGTGTGTGTGTGTGTGTGTTTGCTTTCTCAAATCAATTAAAAATAATTAATTTTGCTGAAAAAAGGTTTGGCTCAGTGGATAGAGCATCAGCACAATAACATATATTTAAAAATAAATAAATAATAATTAATTTTTTTAAAATAGAGAAGAAAACTTTATGGATTCTGAAACAAAGAATAAAAGAGAGTAGAAAAACTGGTTACATCCAAATAAAGTCTAGAGTTGATAGTAAGGCATCAATGTTGGTTTCTTAATTTTGACAAATGTACCATGGTAATGTAATATATATTAGTATTAGGAGAAACTGGGTGTGGGATTATAGGAACTCAGTATTATCTTTGTACTTTTTCTCTAAATCTAAAATTAGTCCCAAAAAAGGTTTATTTTTAAGCCTGGCTGGCGTGGCTCAAAGATTGAACATTAATCTATGAACCAGGAGATCAAGGTTCAATTCTTGGTCAGGGCACATGCCCAGGTGCAGGTTCAATCCCCAGTAGGGGGTGTGCAGGAGGCATCTAATCAATGATTCTCTTCATTGATGTTTCTAGCTCTCCCTCTTCCTTCCTCTTTGAAGTCAATAAAAAAAATGTATTTTTTAAAAAAGGTTTATTTTTAAAACTTCCAGCAGTATGAAGACAAAAGACTGACCACAAACATACTCTCTAAAAACTACTTACCAAGCATCATGAAACTGGGACATATTACTCTCTAAACCAGAGATGGGGAACCTTTTTACTGCCAAAGCCCATTTGGGTATTTATAACATCACTAGTGGCACAGTGCACAAAATTTGTGCACATTAAAAGGGAATTAATTAGAGGAAGTTTTTTAATCAACTTCACCTCAGTGCTGGGCAGGGACACATGCAGGCAGCGCCATGTCCCAGGCCAGGGATGCAGGCAGGCAGCTTCCCCTCAGCGCTGGGCAGGGATGCATGCAGGCAGTGTGACGTTAGCACTGGGCAGGCCTACGCACACCTTCGCTGGGGGTGGAAGTCCCCACACCTGTCCCCGCCCACCAGCTCCTGTGCACATGTTGCCTGTTGACTGGTAAAGACTCGGACACCTTTAGGACCAATTAGCATATTACCTCTTTATATATATAGATTTTTGGGGCCATACAAAATTATCAACATAAAAATTATACTTGGTCAAACATTTTTTTAAAAATATATTTTATTGATTTTTTACAGAGAGGAAGGGAGAGAGAGAGTTAGAAACATCGATGTGAGAGATACACCGATCAGCTACCTCGTGCACATCTCCTACTGGGGATGTGCGTGCAACCCAGGTACATGCCCTTGACCGGAATCGAACCTGGGACCTTTCAGTCCGTAGGCCGACGCTCTATCCACTGAGCCAAACCGGTTTCAGCTGGTCAAACATTTAATTAACTCACCCATAATGCCTTGGCAGGGCCAGATCAAATGATTTTGTAGGCCTTACACAGCTTGCGGGTTGGACATTCCCCATCCCTGCTCGAAACTTAGATATGATGTCTGCCTGAAGAACCAAGGAGAAAATTCTAAAGAGCTCTGCCCTAAATAATTAACTTGGATAGGTGAGGATAATAAATGTCAGTAGGTAAATGAGAAAACTAGGAACAACCAACTGGCTTGGGCTTGTTTTCCTGCTGCAAAATCACAGAAAACCAGGAAAAAAAAGCAAGAGGACACTCATTTTTATTTTCCTACATGGCTTGGAGATGACTATACAAATAGGAAAATAGCAAGTAGGACTTTTAATGTTTTTGTCCAAGGTCACTATGCAGATAGACCCATCAAGAAAAGTAAAAAATAGACTTTTTTCATACAAACAAACCCAATACAGTTAGTTGCCAGCAGACTTGCATTCCAAGAAATGTTAAAGGACGTTCTTCAGTTAAAAGGAAAATTATAACAGAAGGAATTCCAATTGGTCCTCCCAAAAGAATGAAAAATACCAGGGATGGTAACTAAGTGGGTAAATATGTAAGACATTTTTTCTCTTTTTAAAATGTATTTAAGCTGAAACCGGTTTGGCTCAGTGGATAGAGCGTCGGCCTGCGGACTGAAAGGTCCCAGGTTCGATTCCGGTCAAGGGCATGTACCTGGGTTGTGGGCACATCCCCAGTGGGAGATGTGCAGGAGGCAGCTGATCGATGTTTCTCTCTCATCGATGTTTCTAGCTCTCTATCTCTCTCTCCCTTCCTCTCTGTAAAAACTCAATAAAATATATTTTAAAAAAAATAAAAATAAAATAAAATAAATAAAATGTATTTAAAAGGTAATTGTTTAAAGCAAAGATATAATAATATATTGTGAGATTTATAATATGTATAATGGTAAGAGCTATACTAATAAAAGGGTAATATGCTAATTAGACTAGACATCTTCCAGACATCCTTCTGGACAAAGCCACAGTGGCAGAGGCTGAGGCAGAGGCAGTTAGGGGCAACCAGGCTGGCAGGGGAGGGGAGTTAGCGGAGACCAGGCAGGCAGGCAGAGGCGGTTAGGGGCGATCAGGCAGGCAGGCAGGCAGGCAAGCGGTTAGGAGCCAGTGGTCCAGATTGCAAGAGGGATATCCAACTACCCATTTATTGGGCCTACACCGACAGTCAGATATCCCCCAAGGGGTCCTGGAATTGAAAGGGTGCAGGACGGGCTGAGGAACCCTGCCGCGTTCACAAATTTCATGCACTGGGCCTCTAGTATCTACACTAATAAAAGACAAAGATGCTAATTGACCGTACCTTTGCCCAAGCCATGCCCACCAGCCAATCAGAGTGACTATATGCAAATTAACCGAACCAAGATGGCGGCAGGCAACCACAAAGCTGGAGCAAGTAGGAGGTTTAGTTGCCCTGGCGATGGAAGAAGCCTAGCTTCCTGCCACCCATGGCCAGCTGTAGCCTCTGCAAAAGGCAACAAACTTTCAATTATAGAAGATAAATAAATCCCAGATAACTGCTTCCAGCCAGCCTCCACTGGGAGCTTGGGTGGGTGGGGGCCGTGGCCTGCCTACAAGCAGCCATCAGCCACTCACCCAGGCTGGCCACACCCTCATGGGGTGAGGGTCCCTGCTGGGGGGTTTGGCCAGTCTACAAAAAGCCATCAGTCCCTCACCCGGGCTGGCCAGGCACCCCAGCAGGGACCCCTACCCTGAAGGGGATATGGCCAGCCTGAAAACAGCCATCAGCCCCTCACCTAGGATGGCCAGGCACCCCAGCAGGACCCCCCACCCTTAAGGGGCTGTGGCCAGCCTGCAAACAGCCATCAGCCACTCACCCAGGCTGGCCAGGCACCCCAGTGGGGACC